TCAAAGCATCCCTCACACAATGTCCAACCAAAACAATCAAAATCTTCTCTCAAACTTCCATCTCAAATAAGAGATTAAGATCCAGAATCTCCCTGCTGTGACATGGATGGCAAATCTCAATCCCCTCCATCATCCCCTGTTGCAGCCTCTAACTCAATGACCATACCTGCACAAATTGTGTCTACCCTTCAGCCACAAGTTGAAGCTAACTATTGGAAAAAAAAATGAATTGATGTTGCAGTGGCAGATATTGCATTTTCCTCCTCCAGACTTGATATTCTAGAACAATAAAAAAGGGACCACGAAGACCTTCTTATTTCTCTACAGGAAACAGTCAATTCCCTATCTCAACAATTACAGCAAAGTCAGGATTGTATTGATAGCCTTGAAAAGAGAAGTCATTATTACAACCTACATTTTGTTGGATTGCCAGAAAACATCAAGACCGCTGCTCTGATTTCCATGCTTCAATCATAGCTCACCACAGCTCTCCACGAAAGAACCCACATAATAGGTCCAGCAGCATCCAATTGTATCCACTCAGTCTCTCTATTGGAATGAGCAAGCCTAATTAAACACACAGTTGTCCCAAAGCTTTAGTATTCTCTGCAAATGTTACCTATTATAAATCCTTCAAAGACATCAATAAATTAAACATTTAAATTTTCTCAAAAAAATAGAATTTCCTTAACCTGTCTACAACAAAAAAAGATAAAATTTTGGCTCTAACATACCCAATATTTATGAAATTAATGTAGCAGCCAAATATGACCATGCCCTGGAACAATGCACTGACCCTAGATCAAGACATGTATCCTAACATCCCCCTTTCTCAGCTCTTACACACTCTGCTCTTAGATTTGCCAATTCTTGAGAGGTCCTGACCTATACTCCACTATTCGAGTTTGGAAATTAGTCAGATTAAAAATGAAACTTAACTGTCAGTATTCTTTTATCATATCATTTTTAAACAACCCACTCTTTCAAAATGGGGAATCAACTCTTCCTCTGATAAACTGATTAAAGGTCTATTGAAAGTTAAAGGAACATTTGTGTTAGGAATACAAATGTGTATTTGTAACACTATAGTGACCTGGTGGCAATTAATGTTTCTGGTCACCCACCTGTAGGGAGCAAGAAATATATTTTACTTATATTTTCTTCCTCACCACTGTGCTCTCTCCTTGCTATAGTCCCACCTACATGGCTGAGATCATCAAGATTGATGGTCTCAGCTTATTCAATGCTTTCCCACAGGAAAACATTGGGAGGTTAGTGTGCCAAATGCCACACTGCACCAATTATACTCTGCTATTTCGAAAGGTAGTGCCTCTAGTGGCTGTCTGAGTGACAGCCACTAAAGGCATTTAAACCCTGCAGTAAAATCATTGCAGTTCCACAAAACAGCACAGTTCTAAACTGCAGGGTTAAAACAAGGGGCACATGTCACCCAGACTACTTCAGCAAGATAAAGTGGTCTGGGTGCCTCTAGTGTCCCTTTAAACTTTTCCACGCCTTCGGAATGAATTAAATTGAGTCCATGTCAAATAAGGATAACAAGACAAAAAAATGAGCACGATTAAACATTGAAAAGGCTATGTTAAAACACATATTGGTATCTCCATAGAGTATTGAAGGGCAAACCACCTTTTGTATGAGTGACACTTACTGCCTATCCACAAGAGCAAATTTGGGGGGAGTGAGGGTTTCAGAGTTTTGGGGAAGTTTAACTGTTAAACTAAGGCTCTGTCATCTCTATAGTATTAAATTGAACATAACATTGATATGCAATGTAATATGATATATCAAACATTATAAGCAGCCTAAGTAAAAAAATTTGTAAACAAAAGTGGTACACACATGTGGTACAGAGAGGATACTACTTTCCTACTAAATGTTGTTTAGGAAGGTAGGTGGTAATTGGTACATCAGTTGTTTTAATGGCTTTCCTTTTACTATGGCATAAGAAGCTCCCCTAACAGAAATAAGCTGGGGTGTTATTAAATTAATAATTTTTTTTTTTTTTTTTTAAACTCCAGCAAATACAGATGATACTTTATGACCTACTTGACAGAGACCAGTCGGAGTTACAACGCGTGACTAAAATTTGGCAGATCATTCACTGAAAAGGTGCGAGGTACAGCTTTGTACTTTGTACCATGCATCTTTGCCGTGAATGAAAACCAGCAAATAAGCCTTGACAAACAGTACAGGCACTAAATGTACTGGACTGGGATCCCTCTGAACATGGCGAAATTTGCTGAGTTGAATATCACCATGTTCACATTCGTCGGTTTCTCATTCGCGGCAAAGATGCAAGGTAGCTTTGTACTGTAAAGCTGTATGATGTATATTTATGTGTGCACTGTTCCTCAATCTGGTTACTTTTAATTTAAGACACACATGTTAACATTGTTCTCCAGGCTTTTGTTTGAGAAATTCTAGTTATTCTACTCCTAAATCTTGGAGTTCTAAAAATCATCTATTCTACTACAGAAGAGACCAGTTTGTATGATGTTTTTTTACGGTATTGCTATATTAATAGTGATATTTTAATTTGAAGCCAAATAAAATGTTTTTTTTTTTTAAAAACATATAAACGGCATGACGTATTTTTAATAATACCAGTGCCATAGCTAGAGTTTGTTCATACAGACATTGCAGAGTTTTAGGTAGCAGTTCCTCATTACTGACAGTGATGCTGAAAGATGCTCTTAGCTATTTGAACACTCACGCTAAGGACCTGATTTATTATGGCATCTCAGTTTTCCATGCTCTTTGGCATATACAGTTGGCACTGTTACAAAGAAATGTGTTTCAGGTCATTCAGGCACTGCCAATGTTGAAATTGAACATGACCTCTTGCTCTCCATGCATCTGAGAATACAGCAAGATGATTTAATGAGCATCAATCAAACCCAAAGTAAAAATATATATAACTAATAGCACACTGGAGCACCCTTTGGAAACTGTAGAGGTCCAAACTCAAATAACTTGTGCTGACAATTTGTGTGTGATATGTGTATTGATTCATTATATTACATTTGCAGATTTAATTTTTCCGACATATTAGAGCATTCCAGAACAGCGGTGCAGTCAGATGTACAATAAATGAAATTGTTTGAAAAAGCTATTTTTTTAAATAGTATATAGTTTTTATTGTGTAAATGTACTGAACAAGTGAGAACTGCTGTGAATTTCAAATTTAAGGTCAAAATAGCTGAAACATAAAAAAATGCAGAGTCAGCTATGCTTTCATTTTAGCTACCCTGGCCTTCAATTTGAAATTCACTTTGAATTCCCTGCAATTCATAATTTAGTGAATAACCCTGTTAGTATTTTGATCTGATTTTCTACCTTACAGCAAACATGTATGGTCCAGGTGTGGCGATGTTCACACTGGAACCTCAGGACTTGAGGGATTTTTAGATCTACTTCTGTAAAAACCCTCATGCTGAATGAACTCTTGGACAAACAGTAGGCCTTGTGGTTAGTAAGGTTAATTCCCAATGACCACAAGACAGAAGCTGGTTAGCAGCTGTGTCGTTCTATCTGTTATGTCAGCAACTGGACTATTTCAGACAGATCCCTATCTGGTACTGGTATCAAGAACAGGCTGTGCCAATAGGGAGTATCTCAGACAACAAGGGGAGGTTGGCATCCTGGATGGGAAACAACCAGAAGCCAGACAATGAATGAAGTGAGGAATATGCCAAATCACTAATAGAGTTCGGAAGAGTCCAGATAGCAGGTAGGAAAAATGTTTTCAGATCATCATAATTTTGGGATGGCTGAATTTTATTAACAAAGAACGGTTCAGGAAAACATATTAGACAAACCAAAATGCGTGGAAATTGACCAATCAGTGTATATGTTAATATATACATAATATAAATATTATATGAATTTCATAAGAGCAGGCATTAGGCTGCTGGAGTATGACCTGCCAATGTTGGAATACATTGGCATTGTTGCAGGCTTATGCAATGTATGGTTATATACTGTAACTAAACCCCCATTACTTTTGCCTAAGTCAGATATTTAAAAAAAATAAAAATATTACATTTTAAAAGCTTTGAAGTTGTCTCACTTGATTTGTGAATAAAATCAACTTTTTGGGACTGATCATCTTTTTTTCCCAGCAATTATCTGTTTTTTGGAGATACAGAATCATAAATCAAAACAATCATGCTCTGCTAAAGTGTGTTTTGTTGGGTTCAGGATTCGCCTACATTACGGCTCAGAGTTCAGGAATTTGAACGATCACCAAACTGGCCCAAATTCAGATTAATTGCAGTTCATAGAAAAACTAATCTTCAAGTCTAATAAGAGGCGAAATAGGCACACACAGAGAAAGGACATGGAAGATGATAAATGAAGAGATATACTAAGGGATGGCAGGAGAAAAGGAAAAAAGTAAGGGGGAGGAAGTGGTACAACTGATGGGGGGATAGGGGGGTGAAAGGTATAAGTATGTGAATATGGCGACACACATTACATACATTTTATGTTTACACATTACTGTTTCCTCGTAAACACTCTATATAATTATATATATCAGGTTAGTTTTTGAGATAAGTGCTAGGTAATGAGGGTTAGACATTATGAATATAGGTTTAGAGTTAGGAGCTACGTATAGTTGTGTCCAATCAGTGTTATAGCAAGTTGTCAATTAGAATGTTGTATTCTTTTTTTGTGCAACACCGATGTTTAAAAGTCTGACATTGATGGGACAGATGTTATTAACACTATTTCATTCTCACAGTATATCTCTTAACTACAGTAACAATGAAGTTTAAAGCTCTTTTGAAGCCTTGCAAAGCACATTTATTTATAAAATTGTGCACATTTATTTACAAACATAAAATACATTTTTTTTGCACACATTGCAGTTAAATCAATGTTTTGTGGGACACTCCCTCGTCTTTCTCATTCTCAAATCCATGACGAATTCTTAAACATGGACTCCATATTATTTGTTTTAAAAATAATTTTTAATGGGGACTGAACCCGACCAGACGCCATCTCTGTGGGCTCCCGCCTGTAATAAGCAATAACCGCCATAAAACAAGAAAACGAATCGAAACACGTCCACGCCACAACCACTCACCAACTCAGGGCACAGAGGGGAACAGGCGGATGCCCTTCTTCCAGCCCCCAAAGACCGGGAAGGCCAAACGCAAAATCAAGGCCTACTATCAGCCGACTCTCCGCTCCCTGGAGACACTCCTCGGAGATTACCGCGAATATTGCGACACGAGAGCCGAGGGGGAGAACATCGCAGCAACCGCGGAAACCCCTTTAACCATGAAACGCCGCACGCAGAAAGGCCAGCAAAACTCACCGGCGGAGCAGCGCGATGTCGGGGAGATGCTGCGACGCCAGACACAACCCAAGATGGCCACTGAAGAGGCCCCCTTCGCGCCCATGCGGCCTACACAGCTGGCCCAAACTCCAGCAACACAAACAGAGGGGCCACTAAGTAATACACTCCCAGCCCTCACAGAAATAGTGGAACACAACTTAGCCACCAAACAAGACCTCCAACGTTGGATGCACGAGCTCCAAGACCTAATAGCCAAAGACATAGGCACTATAAAAGCGGAGGTGCGCCAAATTACAGGCAGAGTACACGCAGTAGAGGAGAGTGTAGCGACAATAGGCAACGAGATGACTCACCTTAAAGAAACGCTGTACACAATGCAAACAGCCCATCAGGCGCTAGAGGTGCAGGTCTCCACCCAAGGGGACCGCCTGCGTCGTAACCACATCAAGCTCCGAGGGGTGCCCGCGGCGATCACACAGGCTGAACAGCCTCATTTCCTAAGGAGGCTCCTAGCCACAATCCTGCCACCAGCAGCTGCCCGGAAAATCACACTGGAGTGCTCATACCGACTGCCAGCAGGACCCAACTCACCACCCACAGAAGCACGAGACATCATCCTATGCTGCGCCACGACACAGGATAGAATCACTATAATGAATGCGGTGAAAGGCAAGACACCCCTGGCATTCGAGAATGCACAACTGCTCTTCTTCCAAGACCTGACAAGAGCAACACTGCAATGGCGAAAAACGATGTACAACCTCACCAGCAGCCTGAGACAAGCGGGAATACAATACCGCTGGGGGGCACCCAGGATCATAAAGTTCACCCACAAAGGCAACACATATAGAGCCACGTCGGAGACTGAAATCCCTGCAATTCTAACCTCACTGGGACTCATGGACTTACACAAGAATGGAGCCACGGGTGACTCGTCCCAAGTGGGAGATCCTGCCACGGCGAACTCATTCACACCTCGATCCCAGGGAGGCACGGATACAGCTTCTTGACAGGAACTGTACTACTCTGCCGGCCACAGCGGACACAGCTCCATTCGAGTTGGAAATGGAAGGAAGACGCCGATATGTTCATTATGTTAGAAGATACATCTGTTTCTTTATTGTGTCTTTTTTTTTTTTTTTTACATGCCTTTATGTGTTTCTGTTGATGCATGCTCTCATACTCTGAGGCTCTGTCGGGTTCACCAGCCAACACATGGCCCACTCCACGACAATCCCCCCCCCGCTGCCCCCTGGGTTAGGGGCACTCACCATCACGCAACAGAACCCCAGCATACCGCGAAAATTATTATTTTCTTTTTTTTTAACACAGCGCAGCGACCCTTAGACGTCTAAAGGCACATACAGGTAAAAGCCGTCCCCCTCGTAACACACACCACAACAGCCAAGCGTAACAGCGCAACACACCAGGAGGCACAAAACAGCCCAGGGATGACATAACAGCGCAGGTAACAACTCGGTATATCAGAAGGGTAGCGCACGCTGACAGCCGCACCAAAACTGTAACGCAACCTGTTTAAAAAATTACAAAAAAAAATGTTTGCAAACCAAGTGACAAGTCAAATAACCATACTTTTATACTGTATACTATTCCTCACTTCTGTCATTGTCATTGCAATGTTGACACACATCTTTAAAATAAAGAATTTTAAATAAAAAAAAATTAAAAAATTAAAAAAAATAAATTTTTAATGGTGCATGTCTAAAAATACCCACATTTCTCAAGCAATCTTTTTTTTTTTTCCTTGACAGTATGTATTCAAGGAAAGAAATTACATGGTTTTACCAAAATGAAGCACTCATCCCTAAATTACCACATATGGTACTTTATATCATATGACTTAACATCATATGGCAGTTAATGACTAGTGCAATAAAAAGATAAAGAACGCCTTCACCCATCATTATAGTGCTTAATTCTATTGCACAGCACTGTGAATAAAGGGATGGGTAGGGGAATGCACATTAGGTGCCAAATATATTAACTTTAGTTTGGTAAAACAGGTCATGCTACTTCTTGGTTTGGTTATCTCAGTGGAGCTAACCTCAAGAGGAGGCAATTGCCCAGAGCATCTGCCTTGCAAAGACTTCTCAATGAGCTGCATGGGTAAGTCTGTGATCGGACAGTCACAGAAAGTCTGGATCAGTGGCGGATCCAGGGGGGGGCAACGGGGCAATTGCCCCCCCCCCGAGAAATCCGCCGGTCTCCCTCTCCCTCCCCTGTCAGCACATGCAGGTGCTAGCCCTGCAATGTGCCTGCGGACCGGAAGGGAGATCACAGATCTCCCTCCCCGGTCCGCAGGCACTGTGCTGGAGGCCGGCGGGGGAGAGAGGGAGTGAGAGGGAGGACCCGGAGCTCAGGCTGCAGCTCCTCCGGGTCCGCCTCTCGCGGGATTTGGAGCGTTGCCGCGGTTACCATGGCAACGCTCCAAATCTCGTGAGAGTGAACTCTAGCCCGGGAGCGCGGGCTAGAGTTCACTGTCCCCACTGGGACCCGCAGAGAATCCCCCACTGGACCACCAGGGACTAAGACATGTCCCCCTTCCCCCCCAGTAAAGGTAAGAAGGGAGGGGGGACATAGGATAATTATTTATTTTAATTAAATTAAACAAAAATATATTATAAAAAAAAGCCACCCTACCCTGATCACACTCACATACATTGCCCCCAATACACACAAACTGCCCCCCATTCACACAAACTGCCCCCCAATACACACAAACTGCCCCCCATTCACACAAACTGCCCCCAATACACACACCCCCCATTCACACAAGCAGCCCCCCATTCACACAAACTGCCCCCATTCACACAAACTGCCCCAATACACACACAAACTGCCCCCCACAAACTGCCCCCCAATACACAGAAACTGCCCCCCATTCACACAAACTGCCCCCCGATTCACACAAACTGCCCCCCATACACACACAAACCACACACACTGCCCCATACACACACACTGCCCCCACATACACACACACTGCCCCCATACACACACTGCCCCCATACACACACACACTGCCCCACACACACACATACACACACAAACTGCCGCCATACACACACACTGCTCCCCATACACACACACTGCCCCATACACTGCCGCCCCATACACACACATTGCCCACACTCACACATACACTGCAATACTCACACACACACACTGCAACTGTTACACACACATACTGTCCCACACATACACTGCATCCCTGACATACACTGCCACCCTCACTCACACACTACAACCTTCACACACACACACACACACTGCACCCCTTACACATTGCACCACTCACACACACCACTGCTCCTATGCCCTACTACAGCCCCATTTCCCAGCAGATCTCAGGTAAGTTGTCAAACTGTTCTTAAACGGTTTGACTACTTACTGTGGGAGGGGGTCCCGGCACTATTGACACCATAACCACTACACTGAGCTGTAGTGGTTATTGTGTCTGGATTATTTCTTTAAATAATCTACAAGTGCCCCTCCCGAGATCAGGCTCTGGATCCACCACTGGTCTGGATGGGGTTATAAGGGGAGGGATTGTACAGACATCAGGAGAGAGAACTGAAACGTTTGAAAACTGTTTTAGACATACCTCCAATGGGAAAAAAAATTAAATGCATGCATGTTTTCTTAGGGGGTATATCTACTAAATAGTAGGGGGTATATTTCATATTTTTTTTTTACCAGGAGTCCATGTCATTACTCTTGCTCATGCTTGAGAGGTCTATGAATATGAATTGATGAATGCAGCATTCTTTATATTGCAACTCTTGTGGTTTTAAGTTTTGTTTATCAAGGGTGCCAATCTAAACCTGACCTAGTCAGATAGACTTTTTCTATATGATAATAAGTATAATAAGTCCTTATTAGAGAATATTAGCAGCTCAGTTAAAGGGACATTCAGAACATAAAACCATGCATTAAAATAGCTCCATTTAAGAAAGACTCCAATAACCGAATCATTATTTATCAATGTAGAGATTTAGAAATAGGATTTCTTTTTGCTTTTGGTCCCATAGTTACCTCTTGCAATAAAACCCCTACCAATGCTTAAAGATCATAATTCGCAAAGTATCACAGTCACTGCCTCCTTAAATGTGAAATGTTATCTCTGCCTCGAGTGCTTAAGGCAAACGTCCCAATTTAGAAAAAGTAGATCTCTGCAAACTGACAGTCCAAGTGGAAGTGTCTTGTGTGACCGTGACTTGCTGCAGGATATAATGCCAACCTGAATGCTTTTTAATCCTTTAGATAAACGAACGGATGTAGCAGAAGTAATAAAGACAGTGTAATTATAGCTTCTTCATATTTCAGACATTTAGATGTATTTTTAACATTGTTGTTCTACTTTGTGTCACAGAAAAAAAAAACTCTTTACCATGCCTTCCAGGCTTGGCAAACATATATCCTCCTTCCTCAACATAAAATGCACTGAAACTGAGCGATATCATTAAAAAAAGAAAAACGATAAATAAAATTCCATCCAAACCCAGGCATTCATTTTTAATAAGTACCTGTCACGTATTCATCCGCTTATAAAAATGTGGTTAATGGCATTTACTGTCCACACAGGAAAAGTTGTGCCGAGCAGCAACCTAATCCACAGAAGGTTTAATGCTGAGCAGCAATTATGCAAATGGGAACCTGGTAACTGCCTTTGGGGTCAAATGCCAGTTACAGCCTACCAGATCTAGAGGAGGGGCATTTAGGCCCAGTTCTCATCCAGCTCAGTGCCCTGTCGTGGTTTCCCTTGTGGTTGACTGAGACCGTGTTATTGATTCTGGTTATTCTGGTATTTTGACTTTGGCATTGATTTTGACTTCCCTGTTTTCTGGCATCCCTGACTCCTGGCTTTTCCTTATCGTTGTGTCTCTTTCTGTTTCCCTTGACCTCGGCTATTCCTGACTATTCTTTGGTACGTTAGTCCGGCCATTCTAAGGTCCGGTATACGTTACCTATCAGTCCTCTGTGCTATACAATTCTACGTGCTGAATCATTCTGTAATCCTGACAGTACCCCAGACTAATAGCCAATAATTATTGTACAGAAAGTTGTCATATGTCTGAATACTCAGAAACCTAGATAACAACGAGCAGAACAATGATTTCCAAAGTAAGTTTACAAATGACATGAGACTGAGACATTAGGTCATTCAAATCAAACAAGAGTAGAGCTAGCGAACATATGCACATTTTTATTGGCATCTAATTTTGTGATAGGTATCTTCCTTTGGCCTCTTTTAGCTGGTTTCCCCATACTTGCTCTGCAATATATTCTCCAATAAACAAACAATGAAAGCAAGGTAGAGAGGGCGATAGATCTACCCCCGCATCCATGTACTTCTCTAAAGGTTTACACAGATCTGGGCAGCCAATGGGCCATGTATTTCCTGGTACATGCGTAAAGCAGTTTGGTAAAGCAGGAGTACCATAAAGTAACCATGTCACTCAGGTGTTTAACCAGGATGTAAATTGCAGGCAGGGGATGTTATGTTGTGAGTAATTCACTGTCTGTTAACCGCAGAAAAGGAAACAGAACAAGCATGTACATCATGGTGAACAACTCTTCTGCTTCCCCTCAGACACCAGAAACGACATTTCCCTCCTCCTCTCCAGGTGCAGCAACAGTCCGACTCCTGCTCAACCTCTCTCATCTAATTGCAAATGAAGGAGAATAAAGATTACGGTTATTTTGAGTGTGCTAGTGTAAGTGAGTGTATAAATTAGTGTGAGTAATTTAGCCTTGAGTGTGATTTAATTTGTGTGTAATTTAGTAATTTGTAAATTAGGGGGGATG